CGCCCATGCTCCTTCTTTCTATGTAACCGTTTTCCATCTCCCCTTCGCCGTGCGTGCCTTTTCTCTCCTTCTTGATTGTCTGAATCTTGGTTCCGTTTCGCGCTATTCTTCGCGCTCTTCTTCTTCCCGCTCTGATCCCCGCGCCGAAACACACTGTCGACCCTCTAGCACTCCCTCTAGCCAAAGAGACGCGCCGTGTAAGAAGGAAATTCCTGATACACGATGATTCTCATTGGCCGCAGCTGGGGATCCAAAGGATCGACATGGCTTTCGTCGGGCAATCCCTAAGCTTTCTCCCACTCCTCCCTGTTTCAGTCCTAACCCTTCCTAGCATCTATCTTCTTTTCCGCAGCTATAAATTCTGCAAGCGCTCTTGAAAATCTCCCTCTCTCGACTCATCAGCACGCTTCCGGGAACCTGTGGCTAGATGGTATGAAGGAAGGTGCGAATCGAAAAGTCCTGACGAGCGGGCTGTAGTATTGGTGCTCAGCGTGCTGGATCGCCCAACGGACTGTGGGATCCAAGCAGGGCCGTGTAGAGGCTAAGTCGGCGGGGTGACGATCATTATGGTGGATTGGCACGTGACGGCCTGGATCGTCAGTGCAAGTGAGACGTTTTCAGTCGGAAGTGAGTGAGTGCATGGCCTGGGCCTATGGTGGAACGTTATGGCAGAAGTGCTTTCTTTCCTTTTTGCTCCAAAATTTTGTATCTTCGAATGTCAGTGTTGATCGCTCGACTTTTTAAGTCGGGGCGTCTCTGGATCAGATCGTCTGACGTTCTGTGATTGCTTTCTACTCGTTCCTCCCTCCAGATCTGCGTCCATACTCTCTCCCCTCCAGTCACGACATCATCAACATGTCATAATGGATGAATTATGGTAACTTTGCTTCTCTCACTTCGGTATGTGTATGCAATGAGTCGTGATCAAAGATTGTGTTGTAGCATGATTGAGGGGATGATTGGTTGGGCGACTCAATGATCGGGTTGCCTGGGGTGTCAGACGAATTGTGCATGATTAGGATATTTGCTCACCCTTGCTGCCATGTGGACTGACGGCCCCAACCCAACCAGGCGCCGACTTCTCGTGACCCCACCGCGCCCTTTTCCATACAACGAGGAAAGGACACGTGTATGCGAGTGGGACGTACGAGAAGTCATCGCCAAGATCAGAGGGCATTACTATTTTCCTCCCGAGAGCCGGTGCTCTGGATTCGTTGGTGTGGGTTTTCTTATCATCGATACGCATTTTCCGCTATATTCGTTGTTATTGCCCTTCAACGAACTGATCGTTGTCCCGTGGACGACACTGGAGCCTCATTGGCCTAACACTCTGTGCAGTGATTGTCGTCGCCTCGAGCGTTATCACGCCAAGGGGTTCTACTATCGCACACGCGGCGAGGACGAACACAAAGAAAAGGCCACTCGGTTGAGGCCTTCCACGTCGGACTCGGGGTTCTGTAACGAGCGTCGACGAGACCTCATCCGAAAACGGGATACCACGTGTGTACCTGCCGCCTTTCACGTGAAACAAAGAGCGACGGCTCGTTGGGAAGTCCAGCGATACTTTTTGGATTGAATTTCCCATAGTTGAGAGTCCCGCGCGCGCCTTGTTCTCCCTTAAAACCCGCGCGGCAACGGACCTTCTTCTTACTACAGTCGGACCAACACGGGGGATTTCAGTTTTGTTTGTGTCCCCGCACTCAATTTTCCAAAAATCCTTGGCACAATCCATCTTCGCTGTCTTTCCCGGGCCCCTTTCCGCAAACCAAAATGCTGCGACCGAAAAGCAGCATCGGGCGTGAGGTTGAGCGTCACATAGTAGATGCTATAGACCATACATTCTCTAAATGGAGTCCGTTTTTTTTTTTTGCAACTTCCATGTTGGGGGGTTCTGCTTAGCGAGGTGATAAAGGGGCTCATTAGACACTCCTCGGGCACGTAAATCCCCCGAGGAATTCATCATTCCACTTATCCTCGAAAAAAAAATTGAAAAAAAAATGTGAAAACGTTTCCTTGGGGATTCCTTGGGGATTCCTCGGGCTACAACCATTTCGACGTGTTCCCCAAGGGACCTCCCGGGGTCCCTCGGAGATCGAGCATCCGAAAGAATCGGAGCGTCGACGGCAGCTCTCTCGATGACAAATTTCGAACTCAGTTGGTCCATTGTTGTTCCTGGCGGCCTGTCGACGGACACCTTCGGTCGGCAACGTTGGGCGTCATGGAATTGTCCGCCAACGGTCACCGTTGCTGGCTTGCCGGCCTCCTCGATGTCTAGAAGGGGCTTTCTTTCGTCAGTGCCCTTGGCCCCGAGCGGGAAGGCGCCCAATGGTCGGCAGATTTGAATATTTATGTCGGCCCCCGCTCTCACGATTGTGCAGTGTCTTCCGCGATGGAATACGTTACCCTTCGTTTGTCGTTATCTGCGATCGGTCGTTTGCACCACTGTTCCTCGCCGTTTCCTGGACGTCCACCATTGTCTTCTAGTTGTTGTCGTCGTCCACGTGCCTTTCATGGCCAACGTCTTTCGGAGGTTGCCACTGCTGGTGCTGGTCGTCCTCTTGCTCGTCGTTTTAGTTGTCTTCCACATGTGCATCCTTGGTGGCGTTCCACGACATGCACGCAGAAGACGGTCTTCGAAGAAGGACATCAGGATAGAGGGACGGCAGGCAATTTGCAGGTCTGCAAGGGAGCAGGGTGGTGGCTAGCGGGCTGGGCAAAGCCCGTCGAGTCGTTCAAGGTCGTCGGAGCGGTCTGGGTACGCGCACCCACCACTGCACTTGCAACCTCTGCGAGATACGTCCGACGAGGAGGCGGATGAGAGACGGTCACGGGCCGTTTCGCTAGGAAGCGGTTCCACCCAGGAGTGGGCGGCTACAGAGTTGTGTGGAAGCCGCGACGGCGTGTGTCGGCAGTCGTACACCAAACTCCTCCAGCAGGGCCTCGACGGTGACGAAGGCGATGGCGACGTGAATCTGCCGTCCGGGCTGTGTAGCAGGAGGTCGGCGGCCACCTCACAAACGGTCGTCGTTAACCCCCACCCCGACAACGACGGCGGGCAAGTGACAGGGTGCGTGTTCGTGGTGCTTGTTGTTTTCCCCCGCGCTCTGCTGCTATGCCGTCACTTGCTTGAAGACAGCACACAGAACAACGACTGCTCACCCCACGTCATGCCGAAGTGTACATATGTGATGGGGTTTTGTACGACATGGGGGCTTTCCAATTTCGTTCGGCTATTGCGGCCATATGTTTTTCGTGTCACTGTAGTGTCCGGAGGTAGCACTCCGATGAGTCCGATTTTGTTGTCGGCATCGTGTACTCGTCAACACGTGGGATGGTCGTGGAAGTGGCGGGAAGGGAGGTTCTCACCACGAGGTCGTTGTTGGTGAGGAGGGGAGAGATGGAAGAGGGGGGAGATGGTAGAGGGGGAGAGTGGGATTCGTGCTGTACTTGGTTGGGGTAGGTAGGGGAGGGGGGGGGGGG